TAACTTTGAAGGTTTTATTTTGTCTCATGTTGCAGAAGTCAACCGTCGACCCTGTCGTGTGATCAAGACCAGAGCCTCTACGATACGGTCAAGGTGAGTCAATATTCATCCTCGACAGGTCATACTGTATCGACTCGAGAGCCCGCCCATATTTGTCTCTCCGGCGTGGTTTTCAAATTCGCTCAGTCGCCGCCGTCACGGCACGACGCACACACTACTGTGTGCTGCCGTGCTGCCCCGCGGTGAGACGCACGGCCGCCTCGCACGGACGCAGGATGGGTGGCCTACGTCGTAGGCGTCGCTCCGCCGACGCGGGGTATACTCGGAGGGGCGCCCGAGCGGCTGCAGCTGCCGAGATACCCCGTCACGCTGGCTTTCTGGAGATATCCCGCGCTGGTTGGCCGGCCGGTCGCAGTCAGTGACTGACTGTTGTGGTGGTCCAGTTCGCCCACGCCCGGGCTGTCTTCGTGTGCGCACGTTCATCTCCCACTCACAGCAGCCTCCCGATTGTCTGTCGGCCCGCGGGGGGTCCAGCAGCTAGCACACCACGTGTACTGCTAAATTGGCGATGACTGCCATCATGTCTTGGGTCCCGCGGGGGGCCGGGCCTCGGGCCGGGCTCCTCCGCACCGCAGGTGTCGTGTCATTTAGGAAAGATCATGACGCTATCGCATCGTGCTGCCGATTGGGAGTAGTACACAAACAGACACGCGTCGTCGAGATGAGACGGACGTGACGAGCTCCTTGGGTAATCTTGGCGTTGGCGTCACAACACGGTAAAAACAATATCTGATTTCCTGAGGAAAGGAGGGAAAACTTCGGAAAACTGCCATATCTGATAGAAAAATATCTTCAGATTTTGAGGAAGTCTCCTCAAAAATTGTGGGAATTTTTCTCGTTTTTTGGGAAGATTCCCTCAAAATCTGAAGAGTTTTCCTTCAAATATGTCAGTTTCTAAAGTTTTCCCGTTTCCCTAAAATATCAGATAATGTTTTTACCGCTCATATTGGCCCTCTTGGTTGACGAGGCGCTCTCCGAAAATCGAATTCCCTTTGAGAGACGAGAAGTGATTTAAACGCGCGGTACTGAGCGATGAGTGCCAGAACCTCCGGTTGTGGCCTCGAGATATCATTTTCCAAATCATATAATTCGATTGGTTTGGTTGCTAAAAGACTTTTCATGATAAATTTTCTCGAAAAGTTAAAAAAAAAATCTGTGATATAAAAATAATCCAAAAAATAACACATTTTCAATGTTTTTGTTTTTGTGGTGTTCGGATCATCTAGAAGGTGCGTCCGTCACTCGCCGTTGACAACCTGCCTATATGATTCAGTCTTTGCGGGCTCTCGTAGCGCCTGTTAGGTATGCAGCGTCTTTGCCTTCAGTGCATGCGTGTATGGCGGGGTGGCCTACCCCGAGTCTCGCAGGCGCCGAGCCCCCACAGTGTGCGAGCGAACGAATCGAACGAATCGCGGAGACGACACACTTGACGTATACTTTGTGGACGATCCCTTTTCGCTTTGCTCAGCCTAGCTGGGGGTTCAAGCACCTCTCGCACCTGCCGGCCTATGCTCCCCCGACCTACGTGGGCGCGCGGACTCTGTGGCGAAATAATAGACTCTCGGCGAGCTGCTCCGCACCGACGGCGCGGAGGCCTGACTGACGGGCTGCCCTGCTCGCGGCCGCGCGGGGCCCGCGGCGGCCCACGGCGTCGTCGTCGTCGGCGGCGGCCTCTTTATCGCGGAGCTCTTGACCTCCCGCGGCGGGCGAGGTGTCCTTGGGGGCCGCGGCGGCGGCGCTGCGCGGGGCGTGGCCGCTATAGCTGCGTGGGTGCAGCGTATACTGCGCACATTGTTGTGTGGTGCCCGTCTCTATCATCACTGTCAGTCACGTCACTATACCAACTGTCAGCGTTTTAAACGTGCAAACACAATCGCCCCGCCTCGCCGACGCGGTGCTTTTTAATTTTTTTTTGCTTTTATAATCATCGTTCAAAGTTTCCGCATTTCCATTAAAACCTGTCGTGGTCTCTATGTATCGTCAGCGCTCGTTTTGTCCGTGGTGGTCAGTGGTGTGTCACCCCGAGGCTCGTTTTGGTGCGGAGCCGTATTTTACCGCTGTGACACGTGGAGATAGATGCACTATTCATTGGTATGGTGCTCCAGCGTGCAACATTCGGAAGTGGATGATGCACCATTCGGAAGTGAATGGGTGTATACCATTCCGATCCATCATTCGAGATGATGCACCTTTCTGATGCACTTGCACTTGCGCCGAGTTGTGTCATGATTGCTCTTTCTTTGCCTGACACCTACCTTGCCGGTGGTACAATTTTTTTTCTGAAAAAGTTTCGAATTTTCCCGGAAAAATTTCAAACTCTGAAATATCGGTAGACGGCCCGCGCTGCAGAAGCTGACGCCGTGGCCAGCCGCAGCCCCCCACGCAACGCCAAGCGATTGGGCGGCCATGTGCGGTCGCGGCTCCCGGACGCGGCGCCCTCGCGGCGACCCAAAGGGGACCGAAGGGGACCCAAACAACAAACACACAAATTCCAGATTCATTTCCAGGCGCAGGCGGCCGGAAGCTCGCAGAATGCTGCCCGGTCGTAACACATATATCTTTTGGAAACTCTTCCGAGAGCAGATGTGTGTATTGTGTGGTGACGCTCTAGCCTCCACGTGTTCGTGGTCGCTCAGAGGGTGCGTGGCAAGGTGTGGCGGGGCGGTTAGGGGATATCGCTCTTCAACAGGTAGTCCGCTCACTCATCTCCGCCCGCGTCGCCCGGGTCCTACGCGTCGACAATTCTTTTGTAGGAGAGGAGAGTCTTCAATTTAAAGTGGAGCGCCGAAGCTCCCACGCACGGAGCCGCCGCCGCCGATGCGCGCGCGCGCGCGCGCAGAGCCCGCGCCGAGAACAACCGCGAAGCCCCGCCGAAGCACCGCGCAAAGCGTCGATAATTGAGAGGAGGCAGGGCGGCCCATCTTTGGCCCGGCCCAGTTCTGCCAACAGCGCACCGCACCGCGCCCCGCACCGCCAAATATTTAATCGAATTCTATCTACGGTGGGGTGGGCGGCCCGTGTGTGTGTGTGTGTGTGTGTGTGTGCTCGCGCGCGCGTGCCTGTGTGGCTGAGCATCGTTGTTGTTTTGGTCTCGTAAAATATAATAATCTACTCTCTCACGTGCCTGCGTTGTGTGTGTGTGTTCTTGTATTTATTTTTATTTTAATTTTACTTGTATCCATATCGCGTGCTTCGGCAAATGAATGCGTGATGGCGGCGTCGTTGGTTCACATTTACTTTTTGTTTTTAAGAACCATAACGAGAGTGCGGCGTCGAACGTCGAACATGGTTGTTTCCCGCCTCACCTTGCTTTTGCGGCGGCGGCGGTGGCGGCGGCGTGGTCGTTTCGTGATATATTATTTGTTGTTGTGGCCTCTATTTGAGTGAAGGCCTGATGCCTTGTAGAGTAGGAACGGGCACGCCACGCCGCGCCACCGCGCGACCCATTGGCGCCACCTGCGCCACGCCGCGCCACCCCGCTGTGTGTGTTTGTGTATGTAAGAGAGAGAGAGCCTTTGCGCGCGCGGGTAGTTTCCGGCTGATGTCCGGAATATGCAGTAGTTTTGGACGCGTGGTTGGCAGCGGCTTAAGTTTTCGCGCGCGTCCGCGCGGGCCCCGAGCCGACCCGGCGACCCTCTCCTATCTCTCTCCCTCTCATCCCATTGCCTCTATCCCATACTCTGTAATTTATCCTCTTCTCTCTCTCTCTCTGTATCGTGCAACTTTTGGCCTAGCCGCTGGTGGACATTTAGACGTTGTAATCCGAGAGACAGGGTCGACAGGGCTGCGGCGGGGCGTTTGAATAATGGTGTCCATGTCAATGCCCAGTGTTGTGTGAACGTCGCCAAATTCCCGATCCAATTCCAGTTCCCTCCTCCTTTGCCCGGTCGTGGAGCGTAGGTGAGCGTTTTGGGGCGCGTGTTGGGGGTCGTTCTCACGGCCAGGTCAGTGTGGTGTCAGTCGATCACCACCAAAACAACCGCTGGCGCCGGGGCCTTCGTTGATTCTCTTCCGACCGATGATCGCGGAGCGAGGAAACCATGTGAAATTCGCCGCACACCGCCTTGTCCTTCGCCTTGTAGGGGGAAAACGGGGTTGAGCCGCCGCCGCCGTGTCCGCGCCGTGGTGCGCCGGTCCATTTGTCTCGTGAGCTACTCTGATCGGGCGGCCGCTCTACACGGGCTCTGCCGGGGCGGCTCTTGCCTGGGTGATTGTGATCAGAGCTTTTGCTCTTTTCACCTGAAGCCTTTCCCAGGCGGTGCGCGCAGGCGGCCCCATTCCGGCCCGGCCACCTGCAGCCCCGCCGGCTGGCCGAGCTGGTTAGCGCTCGTCATAAGCCGAGACTTCAGGGGCTGCGCGAGGGGATTAGCTGCTGCGCATGAGACTGCAGAGGGATCTCAACCACCACATGAGACTGCAGAGGGATTACCACCACAGTGATTAGAGACTCCAGTGGGGCCATTGCAATTCGGAGACTTCAGGGGCTCCAGAGCGATTCGTCTGTGCGAGACACTCCTGTACTCCAGTGGGTTATCTCTTCTGCATGAGACTCAGTACCACCGAAACTATATGCCCCTTCCGGTAGCGACTGCTTCCACCCTCGCCTCTATGCGACTCCTCCAGCGATCCAACGCAGCGGAATGCACGCTGGTCTCGACTCCGGCAGCTGTTTACCGCGGACCTGCCGAGCCCGCAGAATCCATAACAGGCGCCCCCAAGGCTCCGGCGGGCTCCGGCGGGCTGGAGCGGGTGGACGCATGGATTCCCTTGGCCCGGCCGGCAGAGCACGACATCACCGCGCCTGGTCCTGGCTCAAAGGCTCCAGCCATGGCTCCAGGATGTTGGGTCCGGCGGCCGTGGGACCCAACAGCGGCGTCCTGTCCTGTGCAGTTGGCGAGGCTGCATGGGGTCACCCCGGTGACCGCGCGCCTGCACCTGCAACTCTGTTGGAAATTTCTTGCGAAACTCTGGAAGGGTCAACCGTCCAATAACATGCACGTTCCAGACTTGAGTCACGGCAGTATAACGTATTT